GGGCGCCCCGGGGCCGGGCGGCGGAGCGGCGGGCCGGCCCCGCCGCGGCGCTCGGCTCCCGGGAGGGGGGCTCGGGGCCGGCCCCAGAAGCCATTTCGTTTTGTGCAAGTCACATGAAAGCGGCTTCCCGCGCGCCGGGGCCGCGATGCCGGCGGCGGAGGGGAGAGCGCGAGCTCCATTGTGCAGGCACCGAGCGGGCCGCCGCCGTCTCCGTCTCCTCCCCGCGCGCCCCGGGCGGCGCTGCGCCGGCCCCCGCGCCCCTGCCCGCGCCGGGCCTCCCTCCCGCCTCCCTCCCCGGCTGGCTGGCTGGCTGGCTCGCTCGCTCGCTCGCTCCCCGCCTCCCAGGCCCGGCGCCCTCGAGTCTGCGGAGTTTGCAGAGCGCGAGCCGTTTAAATTTAGCGCTTTGGGCTGCCTGGAGCGAGGGCTCTCGGCGAGGAAGAAAGATGGGGGCGAGCGCGAGGAGGAAGCGCTGGGGCGGCCGCGGGCCCGGGGCGCCCGGCACCCCCGCCCAGCCCCTCCTGCCCCGCCGGCGCCCGCGCGCGGGTGTCGGCGAGCGAATCTTTTTGGCCAGAAACCGGTCCGCGGCCGAGTCTGCCTTTCCCAAAGCAGCAGCTCGTGTTTGTTTTGCCGAGACAGCCGTTGTTTTTGTTCTCTGCGCGGGGGAGAGGAGATTCGGGGCCGGCCGTGCGTGTTCTTCGAGCTCACGCTGGAGTCTGTCCGGCGTGGCCTTGTTGTAATTAATAGGACTGAACGCGTTCGCCGCCTCGTCGGGGTCTGGCTCCGAATCGGCCCGCGGGCCAGGCCCCAGGCGCGAGCACATCGCCAGGTTGGGGCAGACTTGTTGAAAACTCCCGGCACCTTGATTTCAACTTTATTATTATTATTATTATTATTATTTTCCCACGGCTTCACCAGGGTCAGGGAGGGAGAGGAGCAGCCGCGACGATCTGGAGTGTCAGCCCCAGCGGGCTCGTCCTGACCCTTTTATTTAAAGACTAAAAAAAAAAACGGGGCAGGCCCCTGGTGGGGTATGTTTGTGTTTAGGGGAGCTATTTCTTGAGTAACGCCTTGGTCTCTAAAAACCGCTGGGGGTAAGCCTGCAGCCTAGCCGTGTCACAAGTTAGCTGTCCTTTCTGAGTCAAACCCAACAAAAAAGGCAAGAGGAAAATCAATAAAGTCCACGTGCTTCCCGGCCTCCTATGGAAAGGGCTGTCTGCGGATGGCCGGATGCCCGGCCAAGGGCTGGGTTTGGCTCCAGTGGGACAAAGAATTTTCAGAACCGTGAGAAGGAGAGGCCTTCCAAAGTTGCGATCCGAGTTTTCGGGGCTGTGGGAGCTCCGGGGGGCTGTCCAACTGGAGCCATTTAAAAATGGCAGAAACAGCTGCTGGGCCAAAACACACACAGGAAAACAAGCCCGCAGTCCTCTCTCCGGTGGGATTCCCAGAGGGAAGGCTGGGGTTGTCCCCTGCCTTAGTGTGGGGGCGAAGAAAGAACCGGTGTCTGGGCCCGAGACCCTTCTGTCAAGGCCTGGAGGTGAGAAACCGGCCAGGGGCAAGCTGCCTTTCTCTGTTCTGAGAGGCGTGGTGGGGCCTTCTGCTCCAGGTTCCCAGCAGGACGGAGGCTGTGGCACCCTGACAGCTGCCTCTCTGAGGCCAGTCTGCCAGCTGCTTTGCAGGGAGGCCAGATGGAGCTATGGGTTCTCTACCCTGGCGGTGGCAGAACAGGCTGCCTGGAGGCCCCCTCTGGCCTGGCCCAGGTTTGGGGGAAGGGTTTTCCTCCCTCCCTGTGTTTTAGGAAGCAGGTCATGATAAAGACCTCAGGCTTCAGGATCTCAGGGCTGGGCTTCCAGTTCACTTCCTCGCTGTGACCTTGGGCAAACTGCTGAACTTCGTTCACCATGGCAGCCGTGGGTCTGGGGCCGCTTTCTCCCTCCTAGAACAAGACCACGTCCCCCAAAGCACCTGTTTCTGCAAACAGGAGCAGTCACTAAGGGTGTCCTTATTGTAAGGTGGGTGCCATAAAGTGTGTGTTTTGCTGGGTTTTTTTCCCTGCTCCCCCTTTTTAAAAAAGATTGTATTTATATATTTGACAGAGATCACAAGTAGGCAGAGGCAGGCAGAGAGATGGGGAAGCAGGCTCCCCGCTAAGCAGAGAGCCTGACACAGGGCTCGATCCCAGGACCCTGAGATCATGACCTGAGCCGAAGGCAGAGGCTTAACCCTCTGAGCCACCCAGGCACCCCATTTTCCTGCCCCTTTTAAGCAAAAAAGACTTTGCCTCATTTTCAGGGTTTCCCCAGCTCCCAGAAGCCAGATCTCACTTTCACTGTACTTTTAGAATAGGCCTTCCAGTCAGTCCTTGAGGCTTTGGGTTGTTCATTAACTGTGTGGCCACCAACCATGCATTTCACTAGTGGCGGGGGCATCAGGTTGCCAGATTTAGCTAATAAAATTACAGGACACCCAGTTAAATTTGAATTTCAGATAAACAGTGAAATAACTTTTTAAAAAATAAGTGATATATATGTATAAATTTTAGTATAAGTATGTCCCATGCAATATTTGGGACATACTTACACTAAACTGTGACAGATCTGAAATTCAGATTTAATTCAGCATCTTGTATTTTATCCAGAGGACAGAGGTGTCTGGCATACCATTTATCCTGTGGGTCTAGGGTAGTATTTCTTCTCAACTCTGGGGACCCCCTAAAAATCTCCCCTCTGGCAACCCTTCCCTTCCCTTGTCCCCAGAAAAAGCCGGCAGTCAGCCGTGACCACCCCATCCCTAGCTGCCAGCCGTTTTTCCTCCCTTGTCTGCTGTCCCAGCAAGGCAGGCTGGTAGGCTGTGAGGCAGCCACAAGATGGCTGGAAGAACAACAAAATGGTGGGCCCGTTTTTGGGAAACTGGGCCAGGGTTAGGGGCCCAGTGTGGGTGGAGAAGAGCAGGGGAGGAGGGTCATTGGGTGGGAGACAAAGGATTGAGCCACAAAGTAGGCTTAGGCCTGGGACCCCTGGGCCCTCGGTCTGAAGGGTCCCTCGGTGACTTCCTAAAGGAGAGAGGCCTGCTCCCTGGAGACTTCCCACCCGTTCTAGAGGGAGGAGGAAGTTGGACCGTGTTTAGGGCCTCACCCCTTTACATTTGGGGGTATGCTCTCGCCAGACATAGGGCAGGTCAAGTGAGCCTGGGCCTAATTAAGACGACCCCAGCCATAGACAAGGCCTCCTCAGGTGTCACGGTCTAGCCCTGGGAAGTGAATACAGAGTGAGGGTTTCATAGTGTCTCTGAGGGAGTCAGTGGGCCCCCTTGGACGGTGACCCTAAGATGGTCTCCTTGGCTAGCCCTTGAACCTGGAACCAGGAAAACATTAGAAATTGACCATGGCCTGGAAAATCTGTGATGGGTGTTTACGGTTTATATGGGAGCCTATGCTGGGGACGGGGGGGGGGGGCCTGTTGGGGCTTTATTGCTACAGCTAGGACCCCCATTTGCCCTTTGTCCAGGAGCCCAGGTCTGGAGGGGAAGAGAGCGGTACCTGAGCCTGAGCCTGGTTGGTTACTGGGTGGGGGGGGGTGAGAGGCAGGGCAGGAGCCCTAACGGTGTGCCCTCAGGCCACTTTGGGGCACAGTGAGGGGTGTGGCCTGCTGGCTGTGGTGAATCTGGGCCCGGTGCCTCCAATGACCCGGTGAGTGCTGGGGGCTCTGAGAGAGCCCCGACTCCTCACACATGTGGGCCCCTCATGGCCACGGCACTGCCTTTGTGAGAGTCGTTAAGAATCTGGGTTTTTATGTGGGGTCTTCGTTTTTTCTTCTTAAAGTTTGGCAATTGATTCAAATGTTAAAAAAAACTAATATGCAGACCAGACAAAACATACCTGTGGGCCCCTTGTTTGCCCTCCCAGCTGTAAAGTAGTAAGTACCGCTGAATCACGTCATTGAGAGCCAGGGCAGCGTGTGTTCTGGGATGATGGGTTTGGGGAACTAGCAGGAACTCTGCCATTTCCCTGAGCCCTTGTGTGTGTTGTTTGCCAGGGAGCTGCCAGCTTGAGGAGACACCCAGAGCCCACTGGTCATGTCTATGAATCCCTTCTTGTCCTCCCTGGTGCTTTCTCTGACTTATTGCCGGTGTCTCAGGGCCTTGTCTCCCTGCATGGCTGCTGGGCAGAGGTGGGGTTCTCAAGTGCCTTTTCCTATGTCCTAGAGCCCCTCAGTGTCCGGTAGAAATGCAAATGAAGAAAGGTTTCTAATCCTTGGGGTGAACCAGGGGGACTCAGGCTGAGGGGTCACCAACTGGGTCAAAGGGAGGTGCGAGAACCCGGCTGCCATCCGCCCATGGGTTGCAGACCGTCAGCCACTCGGGGAAGCACGTGCAGCTGAGGCTTCATCTTGACGCACCTGCTGGCGGCAGAGCCCAGATCTGGCACACTTTCTGCCTTGAGACTTGTCCTGTGTTTTGCAAGTCAATTACTTTTGTTTTTGTTTTTGTGTTTAACACAACCCAAACCTCAGATTTGCTGACCTGCTGGGGCCCTAGCCTGTGGAAGCCGGTTGAGGGATTGTGAGTAGTGAGTGCCTTTGGCTGTTTACGTAGGATGCTAGCAATTTGTGTTTCTTTGTCCATCTTCTGAAACTGATGTGCTCTGTGGAATGATTTCTTAGTTTTTCATAGGGGACAGAGTAGCAGAGAGTGGGCTCTAGGTCAGGGCCCATGTCCAGTCCTCATTCCTACTTGGACTAGCTGTGTGACCATGAACTAGTTACATAACCTCTCTGGACCTCTTGTTTCTCACCCATAAAGTGGTGTGACAGTAGGCTTATTGGGCAGTCTTTGGGCAAGAGGGCTTTATTGTAAATAAGGCACTTAGCAGATGTTGGCCTTCAGCACACAATGGCTATTATGGTTGTTGCTTTGTCACCAAGGTTGTTCCTTGGAACACTCCTGTCCCTTCCAGGTGCCTTCTGATTGTTCAGAATGAAGGTGGGGAAGGACACGGGTACGGGTTGTCCATCCTGCCTCCAAGATGTGGGAGATGGGTGGGTGGTGACTTAGATACGTGCCTTCACTTAATTCTTTCTGGACTAAAAGGGGGCAGGGGTGGGAGTAGGAGAAGCTGCTCCTTAAGCAGTGTGGTGTGGAGACTTTGAATAGGGGCCCTGGGGAGGATGGCTTCACCTTCTTTGCCTCGGTTTCCTTATCTGTCAAATGGGGAGGGTGACTGTTCCTGCCACACAAGGTTATGGAAAGATTAGAGCAAGTGTATATGGGAGCTTAGCACATAGAAGACCAGAGAAATAGTCCTAAAATAAGTAAAAGCCAGACTGTAGCTGCCTCTGGTCCGGAATGTGTAGGATCTGAACAAGCACAGTTTGGGGCATGGAGGTTTCTGTAGGTTGGGTTAGCTGGTTTCAAGTTTGCTTGGGTGCCCCGAACCCCCTGTTGGAAAGGGGTGCCGGGTGGCTGTAACGTGTCCCACCAGCCCGTGAAAGCCACCCACCCCTGGAGGGAAGGTGGTCAGGTGCCTGGCAGCTCACAGAGGTGCTCTTGTGACATGTAAATCTCGGTTCTGGAGGAATCCTTGTCACTAAACTTGTTGGGGGCTTCTGGCGGCTCTATCACCTGTCCTAGGTGTGCATCTAGCCCCGACATCCCGCTGTGGGTCCCTTGAATCAAGCAGCCGCAAGAGATTCTTTGTGATCTCCCATTTCTGAGATGGCAGAGCCTGGTGCCTGGAACTGGGACCCTAGAGCCCAAATTGCTTGGTTTGAAGGCCCAGCCTTCCTTCCGGGTGATTCCTCTGGGCCTCGATATTGTCAGGTGCACAGCCTCGGGCTCTCATTCCCAGTGTTAGGGGCAGGAAGGGACATGACCTGACTTGTCGACTGCAGGGGTCCAGGACCAACGTTTGGAGGCTGTGGCAGGAATCTAGGGAATGATGGTGGCTTGAAGCACAGTAGTGAGGAGGAGAGGGTGTTAATTATTATCCTTAATGAAAACCAGTCACCCCGTTTCCTTCTCCTGGCTTGTGATTTTTCTCCTTACCCATAAACTTTATTCTAGTAGCGGGGATCCCTGGATGCGGTCTCCCAGGAGCTTAGGCTGGGGTAGGGGTAGGGTCAGGGCCAGTGTGCAGATATAGGTATTAGGAGGGAAGACCCAGAAACACATGCCTGTCTTAGAGTTGGGATATGGGGTCTCAGAGCATCCTTCTGAGTGGCTGCTGTCCATAGTCTGGGCTGTGCATCCCTGTTGAGGCCTGGGGACCGCCCTTGGGGCCAAGGCCACTGGACATCCAGGTTTGCCCTTGCCCACCCCCCCTTGCCGGCTGCTCCACGTGGCGTTTGCCTCGGAGAACACGGGGTGGTTACTCATGCTGTTTTCTCCTGCCTTCCTTCCTCTGACCTCAGAGGCCTTGCAGGGAGGACAGGGTGAGCCCCTGGGTGCCCTTGGTGAAGGCCCCTCCCACCCCCAGCCCCGAGAAGGAAATGCCCTGCTGGCCTAAAGCCCTCTCTGCTGCCCCAGGGGCTGTGGTGGCCCGGTCCACTGGCTCCATGGAGTTGGCAGTGGTGTGAGGCACCAAAGCCGGAGGGCCCCGGGGCCCAGTTCCCTTGATTCAGAGGAACCCTCTTTGATGGCAGCCCCTCTGTCCCCCACAGTCTCGCCAGGCACATCCTTCAAGGAATGGGGAGGCTTTTCCCACATGCTGTCTCCTGTCATCCTCATGGTGGCCCAAAGACTGATGACCCTCTGTGGTCTAACAGATGGGGAGACTGAGGTGTGGGTTGGTGAGTGACGTCCCAGCAGCCCCGCTACTAGATCTGGTGTGATTCGGAGCGCCTTCCCTCAACCCCAAGCTGAGCAGCTCCCGTGTCGGAGCTGTTCCGAGGCAGTATGGCCCGTGTGCCCTGCGAGGGGTACACAGGATTCTGCCCCAGAAACACCCTGGTAACGAGCTCTTCCTCATCTACAGGGAGAAGAAGTGGGTGACTGTGGGGGACACATCCCTGCGAATCTACAAGTGGGTCCCTGTGACAGAGCCAAAGGTGGATGATGTGAGTATGTGGGCCAAACGCCTGGGGTGGGGCCAGCCATCCGCGCTCCCTGTAGCACAGGTGGAAGGTGCTGTCCACCGCTGCTCTGGGGCCAACACGTCCTGGGAAGCAGAAGGACCCAGCTGACCTGGGTTCTCTGCCCCACTCATAGTCCAGCCCCAGAGTTTGGCCCTCAGGGAGCTGGGACATGTCCCCTGCAAGTCGTCTCTTCTGGGTGGAGAGCCCTAGAGCTTGCCAGTGGGGACATGCCTTAGTGCCCAGCCGTCCCCTCCCTGGGGCCCTGGACACTGCGGTTTGAGTGTAGCAGACACACAGACGAGCAGACCCTCCCCCATCCCTGTTGCGCCCCTGCTCCCGAGCCCCTGACTGTCTGTCGGGTTGACTCTTTATCCCCTCTGTACAAGTGAGGGCACAGGCTCAGAGAGATGAGCCACTTCCCCAGAATCACACAGCAAGTGTCGGGTCCGTTTGACTCCAGAGCGCGCGCTCCCTTTGCTGGTGGAGAGCCTTCCGGTGGCTGGAGCTGCTGGAGACCCCAGAGTGAGAGGGTTTGGTGCTCAGGAACACAGCCCCTGCTGGGACCCTGGGGTGGGGGGAAAGGGGGCCACGACCACTAGAGGGAGCTTCAGCAGCCAGGCCTGCTCTCCGGCGGGGACGTGGCCACTGCTGCCGCACATTGTGGGTAGTGTTTCAGCTTCAGGGTTCCTGGGCCATTTTACCCCCAAATACCCCAGGTCAGCTCCTCTTATTTCCAGTCAGCATCCAGAGTGGGCCCACCTGCAGACCTTGGCAGGGGCTGCCCTGCCCAGAGTGCCTTCCCTGTTCGTGCAAGCCATCCTCTCCCCCAGGAAGATGGCTCACACTGAGCTGCTTGGACGGACGGTTCCATCTGCTCCTGGGGGGTTGTCGTCATGATTGGGGGGTTTCTGGGGAGCCATAAGGGCGAGGCCAAGCTTCCCCACCGCCACCTTCTGTGACCCATCTCGGGTCTCCAGGCAGGGCCGAGGCTCCGTTCTTGACCCTGTGATCACAAGCTCAATGCTGGGCTGAGGACGTCTGTGTTTGTCCTCCTTTCTGTTTCTGGCCTGGGCTCCTGCAGCCACCAGGGCTGCGTTCCTCAAGGCCCCGAGACCTAGCCTGTCGCTCTGGCTGGAGCTGGGCGCCCCGGAGGGGAGAGCAGAGTGCAGCCAGCTCCTCAAAGACAGCTCTCGGCTCTGGCCCCATCTGCGCCTTGCATATCATTAGGTGTTGTATAAACGACGGTTGCGTTTGAGAAGACATGGTCCCTGCTCTCAAGGAATTTATAATCTCGTTGGAAAGATAATTATAGAATAGCATGAAGCAGACATCAGGAAAGTGCCAAAATGGATTGCGATCAAGGAGAAAGTGTAATATGTGGGCTGCTGGGAAGGTCAGGGCACCTGCAGGCTGGGCAAAGGGGTAGAAGACAGGCGTCTCCCCCATTAACCTGTGACGTCAGACAGGTGACCCCAACTTGCTGGGCCCTAGTTCCCTCTTCTACACCTTGGAGCAGCATCAGCCAGTTCCTGGGGTTTCTGCAACGGTGTGAAGGCAGCACATCAAATGTGGAGAACTTAACCCAGGGCTGCGGAGCCCACGGAGCTTGGAAAAATGCTAATTTGCCATTGTCTCCGAGCCTCCATGATGTACAATATGGTGTTTCCCCCACCCCCTTTCCCTCTAGGGCTATGGGCCCCACCCCTGGCTGAGCATCCAATCCCCTGGGAACAGAGGAGAAATGCAGGTCCCTGGACCCCACCCCAGACATCCGAGTTGGAATCTGGTGGCTGTGGCCAGGAATCCGAATTGTGGGGTGGGGGTAGCTTCTCATTTTTCTAAACACCCAATTACAACATGGTTGCACCACTTTTTTTTTCCCCCTTCATAACTCTTGCAAGTTCTTTTCTTTCCTTTTTTTTTTTTTTTTAAGATTTTATTTATTTATTTATTTGAGAGAGGGAGAGAAAGAGAGCTAGAGAGCGCAAGCCGGTGGGAGGGGCAGAGCGAGAGGGAGAAGCAGGCTCCCCACTGAGCAGGGAGCCTGGGATGCGGGGCTCCATCCCAGGACCCTGAGACCCATGACCCGAGCTGAAGGCAGATGCTTAACCACTGAACCACCCAGGCGCCCCAGTTTTTTTCTTTTAAATAGGGAAAGCAATTTACAAAATTCAAACGTTGTTTTAAAAACATTTTTTTTCCACTGAAGACAACACACATGCCACAAAATTCACTCTTTTAAAGTATACATGTCGGTGTCAGTATATTCACTGTCCTCTAGCCATCACTGCTGTAATTCCAGAACATTTTTACTGCCCCAAAAAGAAAACCTCACAACTGCGAGCAGTCACTGCCCCACCAGCGCCGCGCTCCTGGAATCTACCCATTGACTCTCCAGCTCCAGAGGTGTACGTCCTCTTCAAATGCTACTTTTTTCAGATACAAAAATATATGTACCTATGTATGTACATCTTCTTGTAAATCTGCTTCCCGTCCTGTGTGCGCCCCCACGCCTCCCAGCTCCTTTCCCTGGAGATGACCAGCATTTGTTCATCCTTCCAGAGAGCGCCCTCAAACACACATGTGGACAGACACTCAAGTGTCCTTTCCTTTCCGTGAATAGTGGCCTTCCCTTCCCATGTTCCACACATTCTTTCTGTACATCCTTGAAATAACTGAGATGTTCTAATATGCTGATATTTCTGTAGATCATTCCATACTGGTACACGAACTGCTGTCTTATTCTCAGTAATTACTGCATTACATTACGTGGCAAGGATGTGCTGTAATGTAACGAGTGTTAGCAGCGGACATAGGTCATTGCCAATACGATTCTGTTCCATTTATAAAAACAAAACAAAAAACCAAATTGAACCATACACAAAAGCATCCTCTTCGCCATCCCTCCTCCTTGGGATTTCCCTCCTCAGCTGGCTTTCCAGTGTGGTGCTAGGAGTCAGCTGACTGGTCTTTGAGAAAGCAGCCACGGGGCCTGTAGGTAGTGGGAGTGTGTGACCTGTGTCTTCTCTGTCCCTCACCTGGCATCACTGTACCTGTTTGCATGCCTGCTGGTGCCGCTCCTCCACCCACGGCAGGTTTATGCCCAGCCCCAGAATCCTCCCTTCTGCAGGTGAGGCCCCTAATGGGACACATTCAAATGCAGGCCAAGGAGAGCCCTCGGGAGACTTGCAGGCTCCAAGGTGAACCAGCTGAATAAAATATTCCTGTCACCCCCGGGGGCTCGCTCACACATGCACACACAAGGTGGTGACTCGGTTTCTGCTCCGTTTTCTCCTCCAGAAGAACAAGAACAAGAAAAAGGGCAAAGATGAGAAGTGTGGCTCCGAGGTGACCACGCCGGAGAACAGCTCCTCCCCGGGAATGATGGACATGCACGGTGAGCTCTCCTGCCAGGCCCTGGGCTGTGGCACAGCACGCGGTTTTCGTTCTCACTAGCAGGTTTGTTCACATTCCAGGCAAGGGTAGGAGGGCTGGGCAGCACTGGGAGGCCTCGGTGCCCAGGGGAAGGCTCAGCGGAGGAGAAGCTGTTCCCAGCACAGCAAGCCAAGAAACGTAAACCAAGCCAGAGACATAAAACCAGACCTTAAGGAGCCCAGTGACGCAACCCTCCAAGCCCAGGGACACAACCCTCATGGGGGTGACCTATCAGCCCTTTGTGCGCTCAGGAACATTTTGTGGGTCTACGATGTTTTCCCCTCCTAGGCCTGACCTGCTGTAAAAATGATGCTGTTTTCCATTTCCTATTTCGCTTTGGCTGCTGGGAAACTCCAGACTGAATTTCCACATCCCGTTAATCACTGTGGAACCCAGGGATCTGACTTCCACAATGACATCCTACCTTCCTTTGCTGTTTTATTTCAAAAGTCCTAACCAGTGTCCCGCTGATGGAATCCAGGCTGGAGGCCTGCCATAGCCAGTCTGTGGTTTTGACATGGCTCACACTGAGTTCCCGTTTTACCTTGCTAACGGAGAGGACAGGCACACATTGTAAGGGCACTGGCTTCATGATAGGTATACAAACTCCATACACCCATGTAACCGGCCCAGGTCAAGATGGAAATGTGCCTGGCCATCCCCTGGTTATCTCCCCACCGCCCCACAAGGAAGACTGCTCCCCGACTTCTGACCTGAGAGAGTCAAACATGAAATTTCTGTAACATTGAGTTTCTGATATTTATAAATGAGGATATCTGCATTTCTGCCATGCCTTGAGAAATCAGGCCTAGAAACTCGGGGAGTGTGTTCCCCTCCAGGCAGCTTTAGCTGTTCCTACAGGAAGCTGTGATCACTCCAGGCTGAGCTGGGAGCCCAGCACGGGGCTCGATCCCAGGACCCCAGGACCATGACCTGAGCTGAAGGCAGAAACCCAACCGACTGAGCCACGGAGGCGCCCCCTTCCCATTTTTTGATCCCAGTTTCAACGTCTTTTTCCTTTTGACCACCCAGGCCTTCTGTACAGCACGGTGGTATTAGATAAATAAGTACATCAAAAAGGAATCTTGGTTTGATCGTGTTTCTGCTCCTCTGGTTCCAGGGCTGTCTTGCTCTGGGGAGGGAGTGCCAGGGAACTTTCCCATTTGCCCAGACGGACCCGTCTGGAAAATAGTCACAGTCTTGCCTATTGCTGGGCCAGCCTCAGCACGGAGGGGTCTTGCTGATAGCTCACGTGTCAAGAAAGCCCCTCGCTGACCATACAGTCACATTTGAAACATGGAACATAATTGAACCAGGTGTTGGAGCTGGGATGTAATCTGCCCCCACCCCTCACCCCCGCCCCCGCAGTGCTTAGATCCCCACTCTCTAGGGATCGAGAAGATCCCTGCCTGGCTCACAGGGGAGAGCCTTTTAGAGCAGAGGACAAGATCCCACCTGGGTTCACATCTGGCTCCCTAGGCCACCCCCCACTCCGGCTGTGTGATCCTGGGCTAGTTCCTTAACATGTAACCGTCAGCTCTGGTTTCACTCTGCCCAGCGGGAATGGCAGTGCCCACTTCATAAGGTCCCTGTGCGTATTCCGTAAGAAAACCCCCTCGAAGCCCTTGGCATGTTAGTAGCTGACATTTAGGAGCTATCACAATGCGCCAAGCATCTTGCTAAGCGCGTTTCATGCCTTACCTCATTTCATCCTAAAAACAAGCCCCATTGTGCAGATGAGGAAATGAGGGCTCGGGGAGGTGGCCGCCCCAGGTTAGGAAGCTCGCGGATGCCAGCGCTGGCCCTGAGGTCCTTTGGAGGCCGAATCCAAGTGTGTGGCCCCCAGCCCAGGACCCTCGCTCCTCTTCTCAGTATCTTTACATTTTAGCACATGTGTGCGGCCAAGACCCTCATCCAGCCGCTGGGCACGGATGGCCAGGAGACGCAAGGAGAGATGCGGGCCTGGACAGGATTATCGGGAAGGCTCCCAGTGGGGCAGAGGGCATCTGTAGCCACCTTTTTCAAGTCTTGAGATTCTACTGACGTTGACTGAAATGCCAGGGTCATGTGGTTACCAGGTGACCAGGTTAGGCTCCAGCAACTTACTCGTTAAACATTAGTACTTGTTGTCATTAATTAACATAACTCGGTGCTGGGACCTGTGGGTCAGGCCTCTGCCTTTTACACACATGCACACATAGTTTGGTGTAGGAAGGAAGTTTAGATTTTCTTAAAAGGCAAATCAGGAGAGTGCACTTTTTTTTTTTTTTTTAATTTTATTTATTTATTTGACAGAGAGATCACAAGTAGGCAGAGACAGGCAGAGAGAGAGGGAAGCAGGCTCCCCGCTAAGCAGAGAGCCCAACACGAGGCTGGATCCCAGGACCCTGAGATCATGACGTGAGCCGAAGGCAGAGGCTTAACCCACTGAGCCACCCCGGCGCCCCACTTTTTTTTTTTTTTTAAGTCCCAGGATTCACAAGAGGATCTTCCGTGTAACTAGTACACTTAGAATAAGGTGCGGTTCCCTCGCCGGGACCATGCGACTGCCTGACGCCTCCTTGGCAGATTGGATCTGGATTTGGGCAGAGCCGCTTGAGCAAGGGGTTCTGCTGCTCAGAGCCTCAGTGTCCCCCTCTGGAAACGAGGGAGGTGACAACACCCACCCGGCAGGCTGTCGGGAGGATGAGGCAGGTGACAGTGGCTGTTTTTGCCCAGGTGCCAGCAGGCAGTAGAGCCCAGGACATGTGGGCCTGCTGTTCCGTGTCTCCTCCTCGTTCTCTGTTTCACAAAAGTGGCCTTGGTCCCAGGTGTGCAGCGTGGCCCGGAAAAGCCGGGTGGTGATACTTCTGAAATCGCCACTTGGGTGTGTGCAACCTCACATGACTCTCTGTGCTGAAGACGGGGTCCAGTGCTGGGCACTATGTGCCCCCTGGACCCCGAGCCCTGCCACCAGCTCAACCACAAAGGCGTGGCTCCAATTACTTCTCTTTTTTTCTCTGTGTTGTAAAAAATCTCGTAATTGAGAGCAGTGGGAAGACTAGTGGGATGAACTTCATACGCCCTGGGTTTTCACTCACACACCATGTTTGCCTCATCTTTTTTTTTTTAATGGGTTAAGTTTTTTAATTGAAATGCAATTTATGTAAAAAAACAGTACAGCTCTCGAGTGTTCGGTTCAGGGAATTCTGACAGTTGTAGGCAGCCTGGGCGGAACGGTTTTAAAGTAAGTTTCCCTGCGTTGTGTTTTAAGTCCGCAGCTAAACCCTTCGGCACGCGTCACTAATAAATGACATTTCTATACACCCGCCGTGCTGTTTTCACTCCTACTAAAAGTAACTGTTATTCCCTTGTATCTTCTAAATCCCAGACTATATTCAGATTCCCTGGTTGTTCCAAAATGTCCCTTATAAGCTGGCACATTCAAAATAGAACAGAAATAATTTTCACATGTCCTTAATTTAGCTGTTAATTCTCTTAAATTTCTTCATAATAATATTCCCTGCTTCTCTCTCCCTTCTGCCCTCCCCGCCCCCTCTTTTCTTTAATGGTTCTGACTTGAAGAGCCTGGGCCGACTGTCCTGTGGAATAGTATCCTACTGTCTGTTCACATGTTCTCTCCCCCTTTTATTTTGTATCAAGTGGAAGGTGGTCTAGATGCTCGATTAGAGCAGTGGGGTGTTCTTGGCAATGCTGTCTCATGGACAAATCTGGCTTCTTCACCCAGAATGAGGCCTCAGATGTCCCCTGAAGACTTGAAATGTGGGAGGCCACTGTGTGTCGCTGCTGCCCCCCGACCCAGGGCTGAGCCAGTGGGGGGCATTCAGGCAGACTCCCAGAAGCTTTCTCCTTGCAGGACCTGTGGAATGGCCCCTGGTGGCTCATCTCCAAGGTCTAGAGGGCGGGGATGTGTCTCCTTCCCTGGGAGAGGGTCCCGTGGGGCTGCTGGCAGAGAGGCTTGGGGAGGCTGGGCCCCCAACGCCCCCTTCCTCAGTAGCTGTGGGATTTCAGCCTCTGGTTCTCTCCCCACCCCCATCCCCCCCCGTGCAGATGATAACAGCAACCAGAGCTCCATAGCAGACGCCTCCCCGATCAAACAGGAGAACAGCAGTAACTCAAGCCCTGCTCCAGAGCCCAACTCAGCCGTGCCCAGCGAAGGCACTGATGCCAAGGCAGACGAGGCCCAGGCCGACGGGAAGGAGCTTCCTGGGACCGAAGGTACGTGCCTGCAGGGGCTGGGCCTCCATGTAATTGGTTGACAGGTATCTGTGAGGTCCTGCCACATGCTGACCCCCTAGAAGGTCACAGTAGAAGAAGGATAATGCCTAGACTAGCTCATCTTCTTATGGAGCAATTTAAAATCCTACAGTCTAGTGTTGGGAAGATAAGTTCCATGGTAAACTATAATAAGAGGAATGGAGAGTCTTGGTGAATTATGGGGAGTGTTTCCATTTTAAATAGGGCGGCCAGGGAAGGCCTCACTGAGAAGGTGACATTAAAACAGATTAGGCTAAAATTAGGTAAGGGAGCAAACCCTATGGAAAAGGGGGAGAAAAACACTGTGGGGGAAGGGAATGGGCAGTGCAAAGGCCCTGAGGCAGGAGTGCTCTCAGTGGCTAGGGAAGGGCAGATGAGGGGTTCACAAAGTGAGATGAGGTCAGAAGAGGCCAGACCTTGAGTGTGGGTAGCTCTTACGTCACTAAACAGACCCTTACTTCTGTGTCAAGGGAGGCAGGAACCATTGGGATTGACTGCCATGGTCTGGAGGACTGCTTTGGATGCTGTGATTGAGAACGCATAGTAGGGCTAAGGCTGGTGTGTCCAGGGTGGGAGCAGACGAGGTGGTAAGAAGCAGTCTGGTTATGGAAGACATATATGGAAGACATATATGCACCGGATCTGTATTGTGTTGGTTTATTTTTGTCTATTTTGAGATCTCTGGATTCTTGAAAAAGAAAATTTTGAAACATACAGAATAATGAATAGGGTACTCTCCCATGTATGTCAGCTGAATTTGGCATTTGTTTGTTTTGCTTTGTCTGTAAATATTTGTAGAGGGGGTGAGGGTGACTTTTTGAGGGTGACTATAGATCTTACAACATTTTGTCCCTGAACACGTCAGCACACATCTCTTAGAAATAAGAATGTCTTCTTACATCATCATAAGTACCGTCATTATACCTGAGAAGACGGGCCCCTAGTTCTTGCTGATATCGAGGTGTATTTTGAAGGTTCCGAGGCAGAGGATGTGTTGGCAGGTGGCACCTGGCCTGAGCGGGGACTAGAGGGTGACCCCTAGCATCTGGGGGATGGCCTTGCCAGCATCTGTGAAGGGAGGAGGAGGAAGAGGCCAGTGGTGTGGGGGATGCCTGCACACAGCCAGGCTGAGCATGAGGTCGGGCTGCTGGGCCACTTACTCGGCGGGGACGACGGCTGGCCTAGAGTCCAGGCTTCCCTGTGCTTGGGGAGGGACTGGGACGGGTCTTCATGGGAGGAAGGCCTCTCTGTGCTGTGGCATCAGCTGGAACCCCAGGGGTCACAGACCAGATCCAGCACAGGGCGTGTGGCTGTGGCCACGGGCCTGGTGCAGTTTTTATTTTTAATTTGAATTGGATGTCAAAACTTTAAACAATTGCACTTAAAATAAGATTGATTTCCACCTTGTCTTGAGAAAATCAGAAGATCAGGCAATACCGGCTCTGCTTTTCCAGGGAGCGGCAACTGGTTGAAGCAGAGATGTGACTTCTGGTGAGGGTGAGCGGCCGGACATCTGCTGACTGCCGCACTCCCTGCTGCTCCCTGTTGTCCATCTGACACTGGGCCCGAGAGTCCTGGCCCTGTGTCACTCCGCGATCACTGTTGCTTTCCTTATTACTCATTTATTTATGTATTTATTTATTTTTATTTTTATTTTTATTTTTTTTTTTTTTTATTTTTTATAAACATATAATATATTTTTATCCCCAGGGGTACAGGTCTGTGAATCGTCAGGTTTACACACTTCACAGCACTCACCATAGCACATACCCTCCCCAAGGTCCATAACCCCATATTTATTTTTTTAAAGATTTTATTTATTAGTGAGAGAAAGCACAAGCAGGGGGAGAGGCAGGCAAGGGGAGAGGCAGAGGTAGCAGCAGGGTCCCCCCTGAGCAGGTTGGAGGTTGTCTAGGCTGTCTCGATCCCAGGACCCGAGCAGAAGGCAGTCTCTTAACCGACCAAGCCCCTCAGGCGCTCCCTTATTACTCATTTAAAGGAAAAATTGCTTTTTTTTTTTTTTTTTAAGAATTTATTTATTTGAGAGAGAGAGAAGATGGGAGAGAGAGAGAGAGCATGAGAAGGGGGAGGGCCAGAGGGAGAAGCAGACTCCCCGTCAAGCAGGGAGCCCGATGTGGGACTCGATCCCGGGACTCCAGGATCATGACCTGAGCCGAAGGCAGTCGCTTAACCAACTGAGCCACCCAGGTGCCCCAATTGCTTTGTTTTTTAAACATGTTTCTCTATCAAAAGTGGACAAGCAAAAGCCTGAGAGGTTGGGGGAATCTGTATTTCTCTGAGGAATAGACTATTCCTTCAGGTTTTTTTTTTCCCTTACCTGGGTCTGAGGCTTGAGCAGCCCTGGTGACGCCTTCATGGCACTGCCTGGCCCTAAAGGGGGCTTTTGTGTTTGTGGGCAGTGCCATGAGAGACTGTAGGAGAAGGGGGAGGTGCTGGCTGACTTGCGCTTCAAGGCTGAGCAGGGATGGGAGGGGAATGAACAGTGCAGGCACAAGGGACCGGGGGCAGTGCCTGGGGACGTGTGGGTTAAGGGGCGAGCCAGCCAGGTGTGAGGGTCTCAGGTGCTCAGTGGAGCACCCCCTTTCTGAGCTGGACACGGAAAGCGGCTCATGTGCCAGGTAGGCCTGGGGGAGGGGCAGGCTAGAGTGCGGGTGACCCCACACATGGGGAACAACCCAGGTGTTAGGACATAGACCGGACGGCCCCCAAGCCAGAGCCTCGGGTGTCCCCCGTCCCCACCCCCAGAGAACCGCTGTCGAGTCTAGTGCGGCGGTCTTAGAGGTAGTCTGCGCACCTAGAAGGATCTAGATGAAACTATAACCTCCTTTTTTTAGAATACTTCCCTTAACAGTCACCATGGAGATTGCTTCGTTTTGGGACGTAAGGTTTGTCTCACTCTCTTTACCAGCTTCGTACTCTTCAGGGGCAGGAACGGGTCGTCATTTATTTAAACAGTCCCCACCCTGACGATCATTTCGGCTTTTTCCATCTTTTCTCCCCACACGTGACCCTGCAGTGAGTCTCGTCCACGCCTCTTTTTATCTGCGCTCAGGTGCGCTGGCGCTGCGGGTGGAGGGACCGTGTGCTTAGTCAGAGGTGAGGCAGTTGCAGGTGGGGTGTACCCCACTGTTTTCCTCCAGAGACGTGGCCGGCAGAGCTTCTCGGCCTCCGTGCGGCTGGGCCTTTGGGGCCGGAGGGTCTCGCCTGTGGGGCCATACTGTGTGTGGCGGGACGTAGAGAGGCCTCCCTGGGTTCTCCCCGCCAGCTGCTGGGAGCGAGCCCCACCCCCGCCCCGGGTGTGACACAGAAATATTTTTGGACGCTACCAAATGAGGCCCCGAGGTGCAGAATTGTCGTCCGTGGGGAGCCGCTATAGGAGAAGGTTGGATGAGGGCCTTCTGGGTGAGCGTCCTCTCCTGTTCCCACAGGGGCCCCCAGTACCGTCCTGCTCTTGGGGCTCTGCGGGCAGTGGGTGGTGGAACCAGGGGGCTGGGACCAGGGACAGGACGAGCTGTCACATCTGGGCTGACGCTTGCTGGCCGTGTGGCCTTGGGCTGGTGGCGTCACCTCCTGCGAGCTTTCCTGTTTCCTTATTTATAAAATGAGGCAAACGAAAGTTGCCTCCTGCATCAGTCCCTGAAGGGAGCCAGGCAGGAAGGAAGCAGAAGTGTTCACCCAGGCCTGAGTCCGACGTGAGCTAGGGGAGGTTACTATACCTGCCGGGCCAGGTGTGCACACATCCCGGCTCCTTCCCCGTCCTGCGTGCCTTCTCCCTCCTGGCTCCCGTGTCTCGGGATTGCATCTCCTTCGCCCTAACAGCCAGTTAAAGTGCAACTGCAGAAATTGCTTCTTGGGTCGCTGTTTCCAGAACCATTTTGGTAACTATGACCGCCCCCCCCGCCCCCGCTCTCCTCCCTGCCCCCCTCCACCACCAAAAGCTTTACCGGTCCATGCAGGAACCACACCAGGGTCCTCTTTTGGCGACCAGGTCACTGGGTCCGCACAGTTGCGCAGCATTGCTCGAGGGAGGGGGTGCCTGCCGCCATTGGGGAGGCCCCACGGGAAAGGCGTGAAGGCCTCCCAGGTGGGGCCGTGCAGCCTTCGGGACAGGGTGGGTTAGTCACCAGCTGTTGACCTTGCTTTGAACTTGTTTACTGCTGAGTGAGTTCAGGGAATGACATAATGTCCTAACTCGCTGGACTAAATTTAGGCCCTAGGAAAATAATTTCCCCTGGGTGAGTTCCAGCACCAGCGCTAGGAGAATCAGGCCCCTGCACCGAGCCCTTGCGTGCTCTGTGAGCTTTAAGGCCAGTTCCCGCTGAGCTCTCCGCCGGACCGGGGGTCAGCATGACTCTCTGGGTGGTTGGCCATGATTTCCAAGCCTCCGTGTCCAGCCCGCAGAGCTCACTGTAGGGCAGAGAAGGGAGGCCAAAGGAGGGGAAAAACAATTCAGTTTGCTAAAGCAGACATCCATCATGAGCTAGAACGTAACATTAACATGGATTTCTTCCTTTTTTAAAAAATTGAGATGGGGGCGCCTGGGTGGCTCAGTGGGTTGGGCCGCTGCCTTCGGCTCAGGTCATGATCCCAGGTCCTGGGTTCGAGCCCCTCATCGGGCTTTCTGCTCGGCGGGGAGCCTGCTTCCTCCTCTCTCTCTGCCTGCTTCTCTGCCTACTTGTGATTTCTCTCTGTCAAATAAATAAATAAAAAAATCTTTAAAAAAAAAAAAATTGAGATGGAATTCACCTCTGGTTCCAAAACATTTCCATCACCCCCAAAGGAAACTCTGTGCCCATAAACTGTCACTTCCCCCTTCCCCCAAACCCCGGCATCTGCTTGTCTGTTTTCTATCTGTATGGCTTTGCCTGTTCTGGGTGTTTCATAGAAGTGGGTGTATAGTATGTGGCCTTTTGTGTCTGGCTTCTTTCGCTCGGGATCATGTTTTCGGGGTTCCTCCGTGTGATAGCAGGTGCCGCTCCCTCCTTCCTATCTGTGACTCTGTAATACTGCACTGTGTGGACTGTGTCCGTACCACGTTTTGTTGTTTGACGTGTTTGTTAATTTATATTTGGGCTGTTTCCATCTTTTGGCTCTTAGGAATAGTACTGCCGTGAACACTGGTGTACAAATATTAGTGTGAGAACCTATTTCCCGTTCTTTTGGGTCTCTCCCTGACGGTGGAGGAGCTGGCTTGTACAGGGATTCTGTGTTTAACTTAACCTAATAGAGGCACCTGGCTGGACTGGTCAGTAGACCGTGTGACTCCGGATCTCGGGGTCGTGAGTTGGAACCCCACTCATGGGGTATAGAAATTCCTTAAGTACATAAATTTTTAAAAAGGTAAAACAAAATATTAAAGAACTGCTGCGTTTATAGGGAGTGTGGTCCTATGTCCTAGGTACAGGTAGTCCCCCCTGGGGTTATTTTGTTCCTTGAGTACTTCCCCTGTCCTTCCTTTTAAGTCCTCACCGAAACTCCACGGGGTGGCTATTGTCAACCACCGGGATGACTTGTAGGCCTCCCAGAGGAAACAAACTGTGGAGGAGTGACATGAAGGGAACTCAGGTCTATCTCTAAACCCTAGGTCCTAGGTAGCAGGTTGTAGGCAGAGCCTAGCCCTGGAGAGGGCGGACCCCTGAGCCTCCCTGTGGCAGCAGGAACACCCAGCTCAGGCCCTGGCAGGGTGGTGGGTTTCTGAGTGCTGCCCGCAGGATATCAGGGCTGCTGTGGTTTGGGGAGTCAGAGTATGTGTTAAGAGCAGCTCACCTGGGATGGACATGCTGGGAGGTCAGCCTCCTTGGGAGAGGGAGCTCTTACACCTCCTTCCTGCCCTGCTCCCCAGCCCTCTGCTCCCCACTGGCTTCAGGCCATGGGGTGCGGCTGACTTGGTTCCCATCTCTCTGTATTGCTTGCTTGCTTTAAAACTTAAGCCTGGAGATAGATAGATAGATAGATTTTTTTTTTTCTTTTCTGCCTCAGGAACCCCAGAAAGTGAGGCATTCCTGAGTCTTCTAGTGCCCTTTGAAAAAAATCAGGGCGACGGGTGTTGTTGGGGCCTCGAGTGCAAACAGAGTGGGGCCCTGGGCAAGATGTCACTGCTCCCACTGTGAGCTCCGCGCTTAGTGCCCCAAATAAGCGTCAGATACAAACACGGCCGCCTCCTGGCCCACAGCCGCATGGCCTCATACGGACAGCTGTGGCCCGTGGCCTCCTTCCGCTAGAGGACCGTGCTGGGGAGGAGAGCAGGGAGACCGATGCATAAGAAATGGCCCGACTGACCGGCGAAACAGGATTCATAAATAAGTGACGGCTTGTTGGAAGGCACGCAGCCATCTTGTCCACTCTTGTGTTTAGAGAATTTTTAAAAGACGTGAAAATGTTTTCCAAAATTCTCTGTGATCTCTATTTGGGGAGAGCAGAGAATTATATGCACGTGGAGGGGGGAACATCTGGAGAGATGAAAAGAAATCCTCTGAGATGTTAGGAAATAAATCCTCCGAAATGTTAGTGGGATGGCAGTTGTGGGTGGGGTGAGAGAATCAGTGGTTCTAACTTTATTTGTTCCTGTGTTTTCTGTTTCCGTGCAATCGTCAGTCATGGCTCTGATGATCAGGAAAATACCCATGTTATTAAGAGAAATGTCTACAAAGGGGCAGTTTACCTCTCTGGGCTCCCCAGGTGGAGGACGCGGGGCTCCGGGATGGAAAAGGGAGGAGTCAGCAGCCATGATGGTCGGGGTGCGTTGTGCCCACCAGAGGGCGCCAGCTGCACGCGGCACAAAGCGTGGAGCGTCCCCTAAGCTGTCCTTCCTCTCAGGGCACATGGCAGGTGGTGGGTGTGCAGGCAAGGGTTGGGGGTCCCAGGGCTGCTTAAGACAACGCCCCGAGAGAGGCTTCCCAAACGCCCCGGCTCGCTGCAGGCCCGGCAGACCGCCTGGCCACAAAACTCCCCAGTTCCAGGTATTTTTAGTAATGGGTCCATCTGGCTCCACATCTCACGTGTCTGAAAACAGCTTCTGTCATCTCGCTTCCCCTCAGATGCTTCTGACGAGCAGAATTCGCAGTCTTCAGTGGAAAACTCGGTGAACAGTTCAGAGAAAGTGGAGCGGCAGCCATCTGGAGACGCGGGCCTGGCTGCGGAGATGTCGGCAGCCTCTCAGGTACCTCGATCAAGGTCTCAGAGGGGCAGCCAGATCAGCCGGGAGCCCGTTGGGGTGTCGGGGGTACGTTGAAAGGTATTTTGTTATTTTGTTCCGTTGTTTTCCCCTTGGAAGACTGGCGTTCGCCTGCATTCGATGAGCGGGAGCTGTGAGTGTCCCGGGCCCCAACCCTCAGGGAGCAGGGTGTAGGAAGAGGAGGCGGCCTTTATCCCAGCCTCGGCTTTGTCACTGTGTCACAAACGTCTTGCCTGCTCCAGTGCCCCAGAGTCAACTCCCTTCAGCGCAGGGATGATACGTCTTCAGAATCCTGAACACCAGATAACTCGTCCTTTTGAATTTTGCAACTGACCGCACCACCCCCTTGCTTGGACCCCATTCTGGGTCACCCCCTTCGTCAGCATCTGGTCTGAATCAGTGCAGGAGCAGGTGGCCAGTAGCTAGGAACAAACATCCTGAGTTCGAATCCCAGCTCCTTCACTTGGCATAACCGAGCCTCCCTGTCTGCAGCTGCCAGACTGGGACCCCAGAACTGTCTTGGGGCCAGGGCACATGGGATGAGAGAATGTGGCGAACACATTCGGTGTGGAGCTGGACACGGAATGCCTCAGGTGCCGTGTCTGTGGTTTTTCACCATCTACCTTCTGTGCTCACCTAAGATGAGTGGGGACTCCGAGGCATTGAAACTTGAACTAATAAGAGTATAGTCAGGTCCCTCCGGAGAAAGTGACAGGAGGTGGCCGCGGAAAGACTGGAAGGGGCCAGGCTGCGGCAGGAGTTGGTCTGCGCTGTGCAGAGCCTTGAGTCAGGCCTCCCGCAGGGGGCTGTGCCTCCGGGACTCTAAGGTCTAACTCCCCCTTGGCTCTGCAGCCCCTTCCTCCTGCAGAGCCCGCCTCCAGAGGCCCAAAGACACGGAAGGAGCGTTGATGGAAGGTGTGTTTGCAGTGGTAGGAAGCAGGCCTCAACCTACGTCTGTTCAAAGGGGACTGCTTAAATTAACCGGGGGTCATGGATCAAACAGGCCAGTATGCAGCTGTTATACAGAGTGTGGCTGACCCAGGTACAGACTGTCCGGAAAGAAATAACCTCCTGATGTGAAATGAGAAAAGCAAGACCTAGAACCTCGGGCACAGCTGGAGCCCATTAGATTAAAAATTAGAGCCTCCTGTACAGTGTATAAAACCAGGACGTCTGCTGGGGTCTTCTGGCCTCCTGAACTCGATGGAAGAAACGTTAGCTTGAACCTTTGATCCGTGCCCTGGTAGCATCCAGTACCCCCTGCCCTGCCCCAGATATCTGAAAGGTACAGGGATCTCTCATTCTCACAAGCCCCCCTCCTCCACTCCCATTTCCGGGGGACCCAGACCTGAAACCGAGCCTCTTCCACTGTTCTCAGGGCACATGGACACAGATACTCATCCACAGAGCTCCTAGGTTCGTGAGCAAGGTGGAAGATACCATACAGCTGCGCAAGCAACTCGACACTGACATTTGGCCGTTTCTGTGTTAAAAAAAAAAAAAAAAAAGCTACCCCAGCCTCCCGAGAGGAGCAGAACTCCGGCTCTTCTCCCCTGTTGGACTGTCCTGAGCTCGTACGCCCCTCTTGCTCCCTTTTCCCTTTCTCGTCTACTCCCATGCTCACCCATCCCAGTGCTCTGCAGAACCAGAGAACCTTCTCGCCAGCAGGACCCAGCGTCCTCTGAAGGCGCAGTGCCCGCTTTCTCCCGTTGCGTCTGTATCGGGCTTCTGTTGCTTTCGGAATGAGAACCAGGGAGAACACAGAAGCAGTTCTTTCGGCCTCCTTGTGATGCCGGCTCTCGTGCCCTCAGGGTCTGTCACTAGAAACTCCCACACAGCCCACATCAGGCCCCGGGGGCTCCATTAAACATATGTTGCGCACCCACTGGGGGGGCCGGGCGCTGTGTCAGAATCTAGGGACCCAGGGTAAGCCGGAGACGGGGTCCCTCCCCGCCTTCATGGGGCTCATGTGGGGTGGGGCCGGAGGAGACACGGCCAGGTTTGGTAGCCATAGGCAGGTTACAAGGTCATAACACGTGCTGCAGAAGAACCCACATGAGGCTGGAGGGAGGCCTGACGGTCGAGCATTCTTCGGGTTGGTGTAGGCAGAGAGACAGGCTAGGAGTGGGAATTTGAAGGTGGAGAAAAAGAGGGCCATGAGGGCAGGCTTTCTGGGCTGGGCCTGGAGACAGGAGCAAGCCTGAGGAACAAAAGGGAGGTCAGGGTGGCTGGGGCCTAGCAGACAAGGAAGAGAACAGGCAGGCGAGGCACTGAGGTAGGCGCGGGCTGGGTGATGGGCCTTCTCAACCTGGTGAGGAGTTGGGATTTTGCTCTAGAGGCAGTGGGAAAGGATCCTCGGGTTTTATGTTCTGTGTATGATTGCTGTTTAGGGATTTCTCGAACCGTGTGGAAGGCTGGGTCAGGAGACCGCGGAGCAGGGTGCGGCTTTGTCTGGGCAGGTGGCGGTACAGGTGCAGATGGGGTGGGCACGGCTGCGGGCAGAGGGGAGGGGGGCAGGCCCAAGGGTATTTGGAGATGGAGTTGGTGGGACTCGCTGATAGGTGGGGTGTGGGAGCGGGAGGAGGAAACGAGGCCACTGGGGTGCTGTCAGCTTGATCCTGGGCGCGTGTGGGGTCAAGACAGACTTGGTGAGGGGCCGGTCGGGGTGGGTAGTCATCAGCTGGTCTCAGGCGATGGGTCAGGCAGAGATGCCTGTGTGGGAAAGTCGGGGTGCCGGAGTGAGTGCCCGACCTTTCTGGGCCACGGGACTTTGGAATGTGGTCACACCTAATGGGCTTTTCTGCAGAGTAACACGCGTGTGCGTTCACCAAATGCTGAGTTTTGGGGGAGCCACTGACCACGGGGCAAGGTCTGACTAGGCCTTCGAACTCGGAGAGGTCCACTCCGAACTCATGCACAGATAATTACTCTGGCAATTCATGACAGACTGGAAGGCTGATAATGGGGAGACCTGCCCAGGGCTGGTGTGGGGAAGGGGCCCGGGGCGCTTAGAGGCACATGCTTGGAAGAGGGAAGCCACCGTGGCGGGGACAGGCAGGCCCCGGGTGACACAGGGCTTGGTGAACGGGGGACGCAGGGTCAGAACTGTGAGTTCGAACCACAGAGGCTGGTGCTCCGTCTCCTCCCGGGTCGGCCTTCAGCCTCATGGCCGGCCTCGCCTGCCTTCCTGGCGTGGTAACCCGCATCCTGTCTTCTTCTCCCCCAAGGATTTGGAAGGAGTGCCCCCCTCGAAGAAGATGAAACTGGAGACCTCGCAACAGAACTCTGAAGAGATGTAGACCCTGCGTTCAGTCCTGCTGTCCATGCGCCACGGGGGAGACGCCTGCAGGCTGAATCCCAGAACGGCTTCACCTGCGCGGTTCCTCTCGGGCGCGGACAGAACTACAAACTTTCCAAGTTTACCAAGTGCAAATCCAAGAAAACCCAGAACAGCGTAACTTCTCAGACACTGAAGAACTTTTCTGCTGTGAAGCAAAACACTCGGGTGTTGAAGGGACTGTCCTTGGGAAGGCGGGGTCGACCGCTCAGGAGTGTCTGCACACTGTCTCTGAAGCCAAGATTACATTTGTGTTGCTGCTGTATTGTTTTGTGTCCCTCCCCCCCCAACCTCTCTATTTAACGATATAAGCTATTCGAGGGTCGTACCGATCAGGGAATCGGTTCTCGTCCGGGCTTTTCACTGTTCGCCCGATTCCTTCCGCTTTCTTTTTTTGTGCCTTGTGCCCTTGAGGTGACCTCTGGCATGTTTTCCTGGTTGTTTTGCATCTCCCTTTGCAAAGTGCCCTCGGTTTTGTCCGGGCAGCCGGTGCCACCGTCCTCACACCTCCCTCCTCCCTGACTCGGGACTTCAGCTGGAGCAAGCAGGCAGAGAGGAGGGGGCTGGAGGCCTCGCACGAGCAGGACCTCCTTGGCCGCCCGGTTTGCCGTTGTGGGGGTGTTGGGCGTGCCCTGGGCCCTGGGTCCTGGGTCCAAGGTCCGAGGAGTCTCGGATGTGGGAGCGCTGTCCCCAAGGGCTGGCTTCGGGACGTTCTCTCTCACTTCCTCGGAGCATCTGAGGCCGGTGTTTCCAAGCCCACCGTGGCCCAGACGGACACACAGAACCCTTCGACCGCTCTGACATGTGCACCCTCTACCCCGACCACACCGCTTTCTCCCACACCTCCGAAGATGAAATGGCTTCTGTGGCTGACTGCAGGACTGTCTCCTTAGGACACTAAAAGGGCCGAGGGGGCTGGGAGCCAACGGCAGGAAGAGCTGGTGCTGAACTTTCTCATAGGATGTTGCCTGGATTTCAAATCCGCAGGAACCTGCTACCCTCTGCCTCCCCAGCTTCACTTGGCAACGCTCCCCCCGCCCCAGGGGAGGCAAGACTGCGAAGAGTTCTGAGGCTCAGAGCCGGCAGTCAGATGGCCTCCTGCTCCCAGGATGCACAGACGGCCCCCACGGGGGAGCTGACCCTGACAATTGGGCCTCAAAGGCCAGAACAAGGCACCAGGGAGTGGAATGCTCTGCATGCCTCCAGAAGGGGGCGACCGAGGCCCCCTCCTCGCCTCCATCCTCTGCCTGTGCTGGGACACCTTCCTCTCACTAAAATGGAGATGGCCCCTTGGACAAACTGCCTGATTGTTTGGTTCTGAGGCCTGGTTTGCTCTTAATTCCTAGATGGACTCCTCGGACCTTAACCCTTTTCCTGAGCTTTCTTTACTGCACTGGAGTTCCAACTCCCTTTGAGTTGAGTGAGGGGGTGGGCGGGTCGGGGGGAGGGGGTTTGCTTTTGTTTTGTGGTTTGTTTTTTCTGTTGTTGTTTTGTTTTCGTTTTCGTTTTGCTGATTGGTGCATATCCAGGTACTACCTTCAAGACCTTTGACGTGGGGCTCTCTCTCCTGACCACCATGGAAAGTGTCTGCCAGTTCCTGAGGGTGGGCTCTCCCTTGTTTCTAAGGGAGCCAATCTGTTTCCTGCACTTCAAGAAGAATCAAAATGTTCCTGAATTTCAAATACCTCATGCAAAATGGTCTCCTGAAATAAGGGAAAAAAAACAAAAAACAAAACACAAACTTTGAAAATCTTAATGTTGAAGTTCGCAATGCCGAAAGGTTTCTGTCTTAAAAAAAAAGAGAAAAATCCTTATCAGTTTTGCCCCTCAGGCAGTCAGCTCCGTGCAGAACCCCGTTCTGCGTTACCTCTCACATATCTCCAGGCGGCTTTACCTCCAGAGCCTCTAAAGCTAGAGTAACTTTTTTTTTTCTTTGCAGCGAAACTCCATTTTGACAAAAGATGAATTTGGATATTTATTTCCTTTCTTTTTGGGAAATGAGAGGTTAGAAGCAAAACAAGCTGAAGGAGAATCACACGCATCCACAGACACCACACGGCGGCCAGGGCCCCCCCCCCCGGCCCCCCCCCCCCGCATGGGGGTCCCCTTCCGGTTGTGGTGGCCTCTCTGGACAGGCAAGGGGAGTCAACGCCGTTGAGGATGAAGACGACATCTGCGACACCGAGGCTGTCATTTGTTTTTCTCTGAAGTGCCTGAAGGTAGGAAGGGGCCCGTGGCTGGGACCCACTGGGCCCCCGTGCCCCCGCCGCCGCGGCCCTGCACGCATCGCTGGCCAGGAAGGCCTTCCACGCGGGACGGTGGGACTGCACAAATCCAGACGTGCTTCCTTCCCCGACGCAGTCCGCTCCCCGGAGCCACGGGCCCCGCCTGCCCTGCGCCCCTCGCCCCCTCCCACCACAGAATCTAAGACCTTTCAGCCGGCCGAGCCAGGGGCGGGGGTCCCCAGCAGATGCCTTCCGCGGCCACCAGGCCCCATGGCCTAAAGGGCTCCCAGGGCAACTTTACTCCCCGCCACCCGTGACGTCGAGGGAGCTACATTCCACAAAGTGCTGGCACTTACACCCGGAACCCGGAAGGCGGTGGACCCGTGTATAGGGTGGTGACCTCCCATTACGAGCGATGTCATGGTTTGGAATGTTCATTATCGCCAAGGACCCGGTTAGAGGTATAAAGACCTTTTTTTCACTGTTACCTAATTTTTTTTTTTTCCCTATTACGTTTTGGGTTTTTTGTTTTTTGTTGTTGGTTTTTGTTTTGGTTTTGTTTTTTTTTTTTTCTTTTTTTTTTTTTTTGGTGTGTTGTACAGCAGTATAATTTTTCACTTATTTATTCCATCAAGTAGATATGGTTTGTACAATGTACAATGGTTCCATTTCAGAAAATAAAAAAAATTCAAATCATGACCACCACGTGATTCTGTAGCATTATAATAATAAATGTGATGGATGGTGAGAAGGTCCTGCACTGGTGCTGGCCTCTCCTGACCACCTGTGTGGCCCTGACTTTGTGTGGGACACTGAGCTCCTTGCAGGCAGGGACTGTCAACTCCCACGGTCGTGTTAGCTACCATCACGAAGCACGGGCTGGGTACTCTGGGCAGGTGTTGGAGACCACCCTGTTGAGGTGAGAACACAGCCCGTTGCATAGCCAGGCAGAGCCCTTCTGGAAAAGCCACACCTGCTCCCTGGTCAAGGGCACCAGCTTGCTATGTCCCTGACTTTGGGAGGCTGTGACTCATGGCAGGGGCTCTGAGGGGTCAGCTTAGGGGTGGATTGTAACTTTTTCTTGACTTGTCTTAACTAAGTGACTTGTGGCCAGGCCAGAGCCAGAGCCTTCCCAAGGCCCATCCCTCTCCCAGCAGCGGGGGCACTTCTCTCCCTCAGCTCAGACTCCCTCCCCGGAGTTGACTATTCCTTTTTGGGCCTGTCTCACTGCCTCATCTTACACCTGAAACCTGAACTTGGCTGAGCCGCCTGCAAGGGGTATGTGTGTGTAGGGGGTAAGATTATGGTTTAACCAGGCCCGCCAAGACTCACCATGTTGACCCACCTGGAAGCAAATGTTCTCTCCTTTGTTTTGTCTGCCTCTCCTCCCCACCCCACCCCCTCCTTTTTAACATGTTCTAGTGTTTTTCCCAGGAGTGATTACGCAGCAAAATAAACTCCTGAACTCCGATAGAGAAAGTTCAACTTGACAAAACAGAAATCACAGGAGCCTTGTTTGCTCAAGCAAAACTTCAGCTCACGCCCTTTGGCTCCCTCCTTTGATGTCTTCTCTGTGTATCTGCATCTCTGTCCTGGAAGAAGGTCCTTCCAGACTTGTCTCTCTGGCTCTACCACCCTTGTCTCCAACAACCTCCCCGCCATTATGTTTCTCAGTCATTCTCTTTCTGTCTGGGCTTCCCTATCGCTTCCGGCTTCCTGTCCGTGTGTGGAACTCTCTGACTTGCTCTCATGTGCCATTAATCTTGTGCACGAGCAGTCGTGCCCAAGAGCTGGAAATGTAGGCTTTGCAGGTGTTCCTGTGAGCATCCTGTGTGTGCTGGGCCCTGGGCAGCAGTGACTCAAGCTTGAGCCTTTCCTTCAAGGCAAAAAAAAAAAAAAATGAGCCGGTGCCAGGATGGCCAGCACAGTTTGGAATTAGGGGACGTGCATTTCGATGAGGGGTCGGCATCAGGGAGGCTTCTGGGCGGAGAGAGTCCATGCATGGGGCTAAGAAGGTCGTTTTTCCTTGATGCTATGGAGTAGGTGGGAGGCTTCTGCACCAGGGCCCTGCTGGAACAGGGATGGTATTTCCAGGGAATGGCATGGATTGGAAAAAGCCAGACTAGAGGTGAGGCAAAGCAAGCAGGGAACTGGGGCGATAGGCCATGCAGGAGGCTGGGAGTTGACAAGGCCCAGTATTCCCAGGCAATCAACACTGCAGCCCGGTGGGGTGGAGTCAGGTGGGCTGGAAGGGGCAGGTAGGGAAACTCACGTCCAGGTCTTAGCCCAGACTAAAGCAACGCGGTCCTGGAGGTCCACAGTCAAGACCAAGGAGGGATTGCAGACCTTCAAGGCCAAGTCTAACCATCCCCCTTCGCCGGGTGAGGAATGCTTTATTTCTCTCTAGAGGTTCATAGAAGACACCTTGCTCTTTGCTGGTTGCATTCTCCTCTTCTGCCAGTAGGGGTCACTCCTGCCCTCTCAGTCCCTAGGCCAGCCTGGTGTTGTAGGCAGGTACCAGCAGCATGGTCCCTCCCCCCACCAGGGTTGGTTCAGGGATGATCACATGGGCCAAGGTTGCCCAGTGAGAGTCAGCTCTGGGATTTCTGTGGGAACTGCTGGGAACGGGTCCTCCCAAAGTATTCACTAGGGAATTCCCTAAAGGGCCACCTCTGCTGCAACGTTGGGAGAGTCCCGCTTGAGAATGAAGCGAGCACTAGTACAAGTTGAAAGGGGGAGTTCAAGGGGCACCTGGGTGGCTCAGTCATTAAGCGTCTACCTTCAGCTCAGGTGGTGATCCCAGGGTCCTGGGATTGAGCCCCGCATTGGGCTCCCTGAGCAGCAGAAAGCCTGCTTCTCCCTCTCCCACTCCCTCTGCTTGTGTTCCCTCTCTTGCTGTGTCTCTCTCTGTGTGTGTCAAATAAATAAATTAAATCTTAAAAAGGAAGAAAGAAAGATAGGAAAGAAAGAAGGGAAGAGAGAAAGAAAGAGAGCAAGGAAAGAAGGAAGAAAGGAAAAAAGAAAAGAAAAAAAGAAAG